ATTTGAAAGGAAAATTAAAGATAAACTATAAATGAAAAGATAAAGATGTTAAACTATGCCTATGAGACAAAGAAGACTATTATAGTGAATTTCTACAAAGACTTGAATGGTATGTGCATATTTAATTTTAAACATTTCATTGCACTGTATGTTGATGTTAATAGATAGAGTTAGTGATATAGTACAGAAAATGAAAAGTGAAATATAAATGCTTACCTTAAAGAACTTTTGATATTCATGTATGAGGTTCTGGAGATTACGCAGGTGAAATATGAAAATTGTAAGATAAAAACGGTATTCTTATATTTCATATATCAATCACCTTGCCAGTGAACTATTCAGAGTGTGAGTGTAAATAACTACATTAAATAACGACTTTTTTTATTAAAAATAGTAGAAATAAATCAAAATTAAATATTTTATTTATCTGTAACTACATACATGTACTCTTAGGAACATACTTGTCAAATTTTATCTACAAATTATATTTTTGGGATGAATATAATGATAGTGACATTAGGTGCCTTCATACTTTGCCTTACTTAATTTCCACTTACCTTATTATTAGTTTTCTCTTTACTACTGCTACTACTACTAGTACCGTTGCTAGGCTTAGGGCTTTTCTTTTTATATACTCTAACTGGATTTCTTTTTGAACATTTCATATTCTTATCATGCCGACTTTGTCATGTATCACTATGCTTAGGAGTGTCAGTACTTTCGTATTTTGACTGTTGACCCTTAGCTTTGCTAATGCTAGCATTCAGCATTTGACTATTAGTTTTAGTCAGTGAAATGATATCATTTGTTTCAACTTTTGCACATAAGTCTTAAGGTACTACTTCTTCAAAACTTAAGATTTCCATTTCTATGCGCAGTTTACCTCTGGTAAGAATTATTTCAGTGCCGTAATCTCGTAAGAAATCTTGCCCTAAAATAACACCTGTTTCTTAATCTATCTGCTTACATATTTAAAATGAGTGTTTGAACTTTAAATTTCCTACCTTTAATTATATTTGTCTAACTATACTTGCTTAACATCGAGGATGACCTATTATAGAAGTTAACACATTTTTGGCTACTTCTTTCCAAGCATTAGTTAATAATATCAGGTTTTTATTTATCAGTTCTGCACTTAGCAGAGAAAATTTAGCACCCATGTCAATTAATAACTGACATTATACACCTTCTATCTCTACTATTACTGCTGGCTTAACTTCATTAACACCAGTAATGCACAACCTCTTATTCCACACTGCCAGAACTACTTCTAATTTCATTCCATAATTATGGCTGGAATTGTGTTTTTTTATTCCTTAGCAAATGCTATTTTTCTCTTGTCCTTTGTGAATTTTCCTCTGAAAGATCCAACCTTTTAGACTTTTCTATTTTCTGCTTTTGGTGGGTGTCTGCAATTTCATTCCACAATTAAAACATGCTATCTGCTCATTCTTTTCCTGAATGTAGTTTTTACCACATGCCTTATCTTACCACAGTTAAAACACTTTAAACAATTAGGCTTACTCTGTATATTTGTCAACTTGTTTTATAATTCTTGCTACCACTACTTACTGTATTTATAGCTCAATGTGAATCTGTTTCTCATGTAGCTTTTCGCTAATAACTACTTCAATTAAATTCACCAAAGTTGCTTTGGGTGTTTTTGCTTCATTTACATTTGTCCTACTTATACTGCTAATCAGACTTTGCTTGTAGTCTGACTTTAACATATCCTGTATCATGAATTTGTTTGGATATATATATGCTCTGCAAAGTCTGTTACCTAACTCCTGTAACTTATGTCCAAATATCTAACCAATTCTCCTTTATGCTGTGATAAATTGTGAATCTACATTAGTATTGTATTTGGCATTTCTTGCTTCTTGTATTCCTGTACTAGTCTACGAGATAAGTACTGAAAATCAGCAGTTTCTCTGAGTTCATTATTAGTTCTGATGATGTGTTTTGCTTTTCCCGCCATTCTTAATCTGACTATATCAGTTTTTTGGGCATCAATCCACCCCAAGATTTTAGCAGCTTCGTTTATTGCATCTATAAAGTTCTCTACCCTAAAAAAGCAGTATAGTGCTTGCTAATAAATATCCATAAGTCCTGGATCACTGTGCTAGTTTGTAACAGATGGCCCATAGGCATAGTCTTTGGGTTCGAATTCACACAAGTTATTTTAAACCCAGGTTATGCACACGTGGGTCAAGCACACAAGCTACCAACTCAGTGAATCTACATGTGGAATAAAGAACGTACTGTTGCGTCAGCGAGGTCACGTGACTAGTGTCACGCCATGTTTTCTAGAAATATCCTGTTCCTTCGTGAGTGCCCTAGCATTTACTAGATATGTGTTAGTCTTTTATATATATAAGACGGTCTCAACGTGACGGGGGGGGGGGGCAGTGTAATGAGTAATTGAATGTATGCCGACAAAATATTGTTGGCCACGTGAGATATAGCGTTTGTTATAGCGCGACTGTTGAAATTAAGTGTATCGTAAAGTTGTATTCAGAAATAATAAACCAGTTTTATTTAAGAAAGAACTTGTGTCGCTAAAGTTTCGTCAGAACGAAGTTACGGAAAATTAACTAACGAACGGAGACGTAACAGTACTCAAGGCAGTTATAATATAACTACAAAATACTTTTTATTACTATTGATCAATTCTACTACATTAAACTTCCAAAGCTATCTTGAAATAACCCAAGATCAAGACTATCAAACTCTTCGTTTTGAATACTCAAATGTTTGTTAATCAAACCTTCTACTACTTCCATTTTATGGATACGACATTGAATAGGTTATCTGTTAAAATAATATGATAAACTCCTTCATTCATATTCTTAACTGTTAAAAATCTTCCAATATACGTATTAGAAATTCAAGGATATCTTTCACTAGTCTTACTAAATTTTCATTAGAATTAATATTTTTCTTTTTTTCTGTCTTCAGACATTATATATGACTTACATTACTAAAGTGAAACACTGTTAGACTAGATCAGATATAGCATTACTTAGAAAGAGTTTGTGCGACAAATGTCCTCTAAGATTTGAAGTGCAGCCATGATGATTGGTTCAGTGGTCGGTCTATCAGCTGGAGCAAGAGACTCCAAGGTTGGAAACACCATGTTTTATACACAGGTTTCCGTGTGTTTTTGACTTCTCAAGAATTCCAGTAGATCTACTTTTGCAATTAGTACTTTCAACTTAACCCGGCTATATGGTAAGAACTCTGCAGAGGATACAACCCGGCACTCATTATATTTTTGATCAATCTTCATGGAAATGTGTTGGGAGTTCAGCATAATTTGAATGCATATTGGAATACAGTAGGAGCAGCACGAATTTTAATCTTGGTATATAGACTTTTATCTCAAACGTCTTAATTTGTCTGAAATTTACTACTAAAGTACTAGAGTTCTTCGCAACATGTAATGATGGAATGTGTTGAAAAGATTACAAGAAGTCAAGAAACCAAACACAAAATAATTGTAATAAATAATAAGAAAACAACAAGAAAAAACAATGAGATCATGGAGATAAAGGATTTGATCTGAACATCAAGAATTGGTGAATGTGACGTTAACTATGATGAATAACCTGAAAATCATTACTCGAAAATACAGTGCACCTGTGATTTTCACTGAACTTGAAAGAATGTTTCAATTTTAACCATGTCATGAGAGCAATGGTTGTTGATTTTAAAGTTAAATTTTAATTGCCAGCTTGAAGAGAAGCCTGAAACAGAAGCATAAGGAAAAGTGATATAGAAGCATATCACATGCTTTATACCTGCTTTAGTGATATAGGGTTTTATTTTAATTGTTCAATTATTTAATTTCCATGCTGTAATAGCGGCCAAGAGGGCCATTAGAATTTTGTTCTAGTTGCTTTATTCCATAGTTCTATATAGTAGATAATGTTTATTTTGCTCAAGACAAAATAACAGTAACATCTGGGTTGAAAGAATTTGCATTGTAACATCTTTTGCTGGCCGAATTGACATTGTCTAAAAGATACAGCCCTCTAATGCTATGAGAGAATAAAGGTCACGAGGAGATGCTATTAACTGGATAAAGTTTACCTGTTCAATTCAAATTCATTTTTTGGGTCACTTCTACTAGGAGATCTTAGAATATAGACTTACACCAAGAGCATCGTGTTGAGTTCTAAAGAAATCGATCCCAAGAGAAAGAAGGCTATGGAACTAAGCACGACCTAATAGAAGTGACTGTCTTTTTGTGTACCATTTTGCACATTATTTTTGTTTCTTGAATAATAAATATTGTTTTCCTTTTTATCAACTTTTTCCAGACTCATTATTTCACACACACACACACACTGGGAAGGATCATTTAAGTTATTTGATTCATACTCAGTCTCCTTATTTCCAGAACGAATCTGTAGATATTAGCGGATCCGTTTATCTGTTACTTGTGGAGATAACTTAAGAGAAGTTCCTGTTATTTATCGGACATATGTTGACTTTTTTTTAGTTTCTCTTTCTTTTTGTCCCTCTTCAGAAGTCATAACGTGAGCTAAGATGGAATATACAACATTGAAGATATACATAACTATTTGATGATAATTTATGCAAAATGATTCGTTATTATGCTAAAAATCCTGAAGAATAGTCAATACTGAAAAAGTTCACAACCAAATGTATTTTTGCACTTCTGTAATGTTAATATTATCGGATTTATTACCTCTATCTCTTAATACAAAAATCAAACAAACTAATGTTATCAAAGATAATGACATTAAACATTATGTTATACACAAATTTAGCATTCTATATTGAATTTATCTAAAGTAATTAGAGTTTCTGATACTTTATGAAGTTAATATGGTAACATTCTGCTGCAAATTATTATTTGGTTGAATTATTACATAGTGGAATTAGTTTAATGAATCTATGAAATCCATTCCGGTTCGTATATGGTTTTTGTACAGTAATCACAAAAGTTTATAGAGGGCGCCATTGTTACACCATCTTGGGCATTTTAGTTATCACGTGTTAAATTGAAGTGTTTAAACTTTAAGTGGAATTCGTATTCAGTTGAGTGTAAAATGTCTATTTTTACTTGCATAACATGCCAAGCAGTTTTTGAAAACTTAGATATTCAACGCCATCATTATAAATCCGATTGGCATAGATATAATTTAAAACGAAAGGTTGCAGAACTTCCTCCTGTAACTCCAGATTTTTTTAATCAACGTGTCCTAGCTCAAAGAGAACGACGTAATGAAGAATCCGACGAAGAGACTTTCCACTGTGGAACATGTCAGAAGTACTTTGGAACAAAGAATGCATACAATAACCACGTAAAATCCAAAAAGCATCAAGTAATTGTAAGAAGAGAGAAAAAGAAAAGTGTTTTAGCAGATATAGGGAAACAAAAAGTAAAAAATATGAAGAACTTCACGAAGGTATTAGATGAAGTCGAAGTATGTGAAAGGGATATGGAAAACCAGGTAAAAAAAAGTCAGCATCAAAAGTCGTCTCATCAACAAGTAGATAAAAGTCAAATCAGTTCGTTCAGTGATAATGTTTCACAGCCCTTGATGCATAATGAGCCTTTAACCAAACAGCTTATAACCATTACTAAAAATATGTTATATAGAAAGTCTGTATCAGAATCACAGTCAGTCAACTCTGATAGTGATTGGGAAAGTTGTGATGATGAGGAAGAGACAAGGGTAACATTACAGCCTAATGAATGTCTCTTCTGCTCTTATTCAAGTGGAAACTTGGAAGCTAATGTTCTTCATATGAGTCAAGAACATTCCTTTTTCATTCCAGATATTGATTACCTTATTGATCTTAATGGTTTGATAACATACTTGGGTGAAAAGATTGGTGTTGGATTTAGATGCCTATGGTGCTGTGATAAAGGGAAAACTTTTAACTCAGCCAGAGCAACACAGCAGCACATGCTTGATAAGGGACACTGCAAGATGCTTCATGAAGGAATAACCTTAATGGAATATTCAGATTTCTATGACTACAGTTCCAGTTATCCTGATAAAGAGTGTGATTCTGATAAAGAGATAAATTTTAAGCATCTTGATGAAGAAAACTGGCAGTTAGTACTGCCATCTGGAGTATCAGTAGGTCATCGCTCCCTTGCTCATTATTACAGACAGAATGTTCCCCTTGACAGGGTACACAGAAATCAGTGCTTAATAAACAGAGTGATGACCCACTATAAAACTTTGGGATGGACGGGAACTATGGGAGAATCAGCAATACAGAAAGCTAGAGATATAAAATTTCTGAAAAAAATCCAAACAAAGCATGCACTGAAACTGGCATTGAAAAATAATAAAACTTTACAGCCTCATTTCAGACACCAAATTGGCTTCTAATGATTTTGTCAGTTGTTTTGACCAGTTTTATTTTGTGTTTGTTCTTACGAACATACAAAATTGTCTCAAACCCCTACTTGTTTATTATTATTTCCTAAACAGTTTTTACAAAGTTTTTCATTTTTAAATATGTATGGCATGTAGTTACAATATCTTTCTTATTACATCCTGTAATAACAGTTTCAAAACATTTGGAGCCCTGATCTTTAATGGGAATTTATATTTTCATAATGCATATTAAGCAATTTCAAAGATTTGAGAGTTTTTATTATCTATTACTTCTTAAAACCTAACCGTGACTATAGCATTGAAATTATTATAAACTGATAGCTGAAATATATATTCTCCTTAGTTAATTTTTTACATGGTTCAAAAATTAAGTTTTTTTTCTTGAAGTCATAATTCTGTAAAGAATTCCAATTATTACATCAAATAAAATATTCTGTTCAAGTGGATCCTTTATTTTGATGTAAGTAAAGTCAACCAAGAGAACAACACTTGATTTGGAACAAAGTCAGAGTTTAAGTGTCTTACATACTGCACAGTTTGAAAAATAAAAGTACTAACTAAAAATACAAATGTATTCTTTGTGAACAAATAAGTTAATGTAGTTGGTGTGTAGTGCTCAGGAAAGTAATACTTTTCTATATTATTTTTAGCATTTTAATGTACATAAATAATTTTTAAATGCTTTTTAGACTAAAGTGAACATTTTGTATTAACATACCTCAATGATATTTTTACATTAGGATGATGATAGTTCTTGAGATATTGCATTGTTCAGTAATACGACTACTTGGTTGTTTTCTAAAATTTTATTATTCATAAATTGTCATAAGCATTAAAAAGTAATTTATCTTAGTTAGATTTTAGGTATTAATTTTATTAAAAATGAAACTTTGCTAAAGTATTACATTGCTCAAAATTTATTTTCAATGCACAGAAAAACTTGGTAAAAGAATGATGACCTCTGTGTTGCAAGATACTGTTATAACAAGTGAACTTTCTTTATGAGTTTTTAAAATTATCTGGTGAAAGTAATTCAATGCCCAGTCCACATAATGATAAAAAATTATTGTATTTCCTCCTTTTAATATTTATACAAGCTTAAACCACGTACACTACTGTACATTGTTATATGCCTACATTAAAAATGATGTTCAAACTTTGCTAATACAAGTAGAATTAACATAAAATCAACTTGTGTAAAGTATCTCAATAACTGCAATGGCTAACACAGGTGTAAAATATTTTATACACTGATTGAAACAACTCCCTTTTTGAAACAATACTACTATCTTTTTAATTATCTATACTCATTCACTACTATCTCATATTTATAATTTAGTTTCAAATATATGACAAAAACTTGATGTCAACCTAGAACTTTCTAGGTGTTCTAGGCCTATCTTAACATCATGCACCCAGTAACTAGTATACAAATTACAATATTAAAAATACAGCTTTATACACTTCCCTTCCTGGATTGTAAAGTCTCTTGAACAATCCTAATAAAAAATCCTCTGGTGAGACAGTTGTAAGTTTACAGAATTACAACACTAGAGTCCGAGGTTTGATTCATTGCATTGGATACAGCAGATACCCCAATGTGGTATTGCTCTAAAATAAACAAAACCTTATGTAATAAAACAGTAAATTAAATTGTCCATTCTACAAATCTTTAATGTGGCTTTCTCTTCTGAGGCTGATGGTATGGCATCTTGTCCTTTCTGTTACTGAGAAAGTTCTTCCTGTGTAAATGGTTCTGCTGACAAGTTTTCTAGATTTACCCAGTTGGCCATTTTTACACCAACATACTTCTGAAGACAAACATGATGGATGACCTTTGGCTTGGACTTCCTCTCCTCTGAACACCCTCTTACCTTTGGAGTTTGGTTTCTGCCACAATGAAAAGTGCCCATATCATGTCATCATGATGGAATAGTTTTATCTGCACATTTAGCATAACTACCTTTCACAATTTCAGTTTTCCAGGGTAAAATCATGAACAACATCTTTATTCTTCACATCCGGATGAGCTCTCCCAACCACTAATCTCTCATGACATGCCAGAGTATTTGGTTCCACTATATTCCAGTCACTTGAAAAATATTGCTATTAATTCCTTATATGAGTATCTCGCTTCTTGATATTACAATGACCACCCACCCGTTTTCACTGGACATTCAGTCTCTGGTGTTGTAATGGGTATGTACGACATAGGATTTCTTTGATGTCAATTACCCACATCATGAAGTACAGAAAAGTTTCCTACAGTAAAGGTAACTTCCAACTTCTCTTTTGCTGTTTGCATCAAACCCCCTTCTTTCTTCATCTCTGGAGACAATTTCCCATCTTTCAGTAACAAATCAGGATGAACAGTTGTAGCTAGAAAACCAGTGTCAACCAGCAAACTGAAAGCTTTTCCTTTAAACGCCCATGGACAATTTTCCTCAAATAATGAACTTCTTTTTTCATTCGTGATAGACAGAGTAATTCCAGTTGAACTTAGCGTAATAAATCCAAGTAAATCCTGTTTTCTAGATGCTTTGTTAGCTCTGTGTTATTCTTTAGATCTGGTTGGGCTCTGTCTCCTTGACCTGGTAACAGCTGTTGATTCCTCACAGTCTTGACTATAATGGCAAAGTTTCCCACAATTGTAATAGTTACATTTCTCTGGTATACTTTCAGAGGGGCTCTTATTCCATTCAGGCTTTTGCCTAGAGTTCCAGGCTTTATGTCCCTTCAAGTTATACTTGAAATATCTATTATATTTTGGTTTATTTCCTCTGTTCTGTTTAACTAGCCATTTCAATAATTATTTTGGTTCTTTACACTATTTGTAGGGGAAGTTGATGTTTCAATACTGCAGGATCTGATATTTCTGTAACTTCTAGATTTATTAGTTCTTCTGCCTTCGTTAGTTTATCTGTGACCTTAATGGATCCTAGATCCATTGCCAGCTGCAGAGCTTCCTTTAAGGATGTAAACCTGCTTTACTTCAGCCTCATTCTCATATCCTCATCTCTTATAGCATCTATAAATTTATGTGCCAGTGTATCCATCATTTCACAAGGAGTGTCTAGGTAAAATAAATGGGAAAGCCTTTCCAAAATTTCCTATTCTAGAAATTTACTCTGGATACTTATTTGTGGTGCATAAGTTGGGTTGATAATCTTATTGTGCTACTTCAAGTTGTGAAATGGCCTTTCTGTTGCTTAGTATTTTTCTCATGTTCTTCAAAGAAACAATTTTGGGGTGTTAAAATTAAAGGTTATTAATTTCTGGAAATAATAATAAATGAAAATTACAAAATTGTAGAAAGTTATATTTTTTATTTGGTTATATAAATGTTTTGTCAAAGAATTACAGAACTGTTAGTAATTTTTTTTCTACTTTAAATGGCAGTATAAATCCTGAGAGATAATGTGTATGTCCTTGAGAAAACTAAAAATTTAAAACCCCCCCTTTTTTTTTTCCAGAAAGTCACTGACTACCTCTAAGCTTTTGTATTATGTCAGCTTCCATTACAATAAACAAAAAGTCATTGCTTAAGCCAATCACTCAGTTAAAAAAAATGAGACTTAACTGGAGACTAGCCTGTCTTTTTTCAAATCCTCAACTTGTACTCTTGTCTGCAGAATACAGCAGAAGATCAGAGATCTTTATTCATTCAATTCCCTGGATGATCATCAAAACTCCAATAAGACAACCTCTTACCCTTGTTTTCTTGAGATAAAATTAGTTAGTAAATTATAACTTTTCTCTATAAGATAACCCTTCCATACAAGGAACCTTTCTAACTGTTCTCCTCAGAACCATTTACAATAAGCCAATATCCTTTCTTTGATGAAAAGCCAAAACTTTAAACACTATTCTAAGTGAGACATGACCGGATTCAGTATTCATAACTACGTGCTAAGCTAATACACAAAGTCATTCAATGGAAAACATCACTTTTTTTACTCTCATACTAAACTATAATATACTTGAAAAAATTAACTATGGTAAGGCCTTTAACAAAATAATATATATACATTTATTTTTAAGGATATCAACCTATACTATATCTATATGTTTTCTACATATATAGCTTTAGTATCATGCTGTAGTGAATGAAGAGGTGAAATGTATCACTAATGTATTTTAAAGGCAGTTGATAAGAGGTATTTAACTGATTAAGTGGCAACGTTAACAGCTAGTGTGTTCATTATTTACATAAAATTGTAATATACAGTTTTCTAAGTAATTGGAAAACTTTAGTAATCCCCTTTTGATAGTCATGTATGATTTTATATATATAAAAATGCAGAAGAATTTGATTTATGTCTAACCAATCCTACTCATTATTACAGCTCCTGGAATACTTCTGATCTACAGTGCAACATCTTGTGAAACATATTTTCAGTCCATAAAACAAATTTTATGTCAGAAAGAAATAGTTTTATTTTGGTTCAGTTACATCTTAAATTATTTTGGACATAAACTTAGACAAATTATTTCACTTCAAGTTTAATTTAATGAACCAACCACTTCACATTCTATTTCTATATTCATCTGATTTCCATTGGTAAACTATTTGTTTATCAATACACTAAATGAGTTTCAGCTTAGAACGTTCTTAAACCTATAATGCCCCCCAGTGGCACAGCAGCATGCCTGCGGACTTACAATGCTAGAAACCGGGTTTCGATACCCGCGATCAGGAAAGAGCACAGATAACCCATTGTGTAGCTTTGTGCTTAACTTCAAATAAACAAACAATAAACCTATAATAATTGTGGTGATGAAGTTACTAGGTGCTACATATATTGTGAGTCTTGGAATATTACAGATAAAATAAGACATATTTTACCACTTGCGACTAAGACTTAGGTTTTTGCATAAGTGAGTTAATTTGTATTTTTGTCTCTTTTCAGTCATTTTCACTCTTGTGCCCTCTGTGAGAAACTAAGTGATGTATTTGTTTACCAGTAAAACATATAGCAGAGAAGAGTTGAATGTATTTAAGAGTGGAATCAAAATACCATGTTTGGACTTATAGAAGTCTTATGTTAAAGGTGCTTTGTTACACTTCAAAGCCTTATGTCTTAGTTAGCAACTGGACCATGTCCTTTGCCATATTGAATTTTTAATGATGTTGGCCATTCTTCTGTTGATCATATTAATCCAAAGATAGCAGTGGAGGTTATCGGGTATAGACATAGTGAGACCAGTTAAGAAGATTTCACACTGAATGAATCTTTTAATTTTGCCATGAAAAGAGCTGCAATGGGTGGGTTTTTTTTATGCCAAACTTAGCATCCCTACCACAAAGTGATGTGATTGTTATTACACAAAATGCAATATGTTTTCCAAATCAGTCAGGAGCTCTCCCACGAAGGCAGAGGAAGCATTGAATTCATATATGAAAAAATGATCTTATACTTGGTTGACCTTGGGCAAATATGCCATGGCCATGCTCATATGTCACACAATTAAGTAGGAAAGGGAGAATATGTTTGGCAGGATAT